ACTCCCTCAGGGTTAGAATGGGTAAGTTGGTTAAAAAATGATGCACAAATAACCAAATCATCGGGTGTTGGATGCCGAATTCTTTTACCTGAGACATATCGATCTAAGTAGACCTTTTCCAAAAGTAAAAGTAGATGAAGGATGGAATTGTACTCATAATGTCTTACACCTCTCTTGAAGCCAATATCCCAATTTTGCTACTTTCTGAGGACAAAACAAACCTAGCAATAGGTTCGGCCTTAAAATTTGACAAGGAGTAGAAGTCTAAAAAAAGCAAATTAAGGGGTTGATCCCCAAGCTAAAGGTCTTCCCAAAATAACACTCTATTCCCATTCCTAACATTAAGATGAATGCAATTAAGGAAAGTGGACAATACCTCAATGATTGCTTTGTAGTGAGAGCTTGAATTTGTATTTGAAGCTAGTTTTGCATCCCATCCATTGTTGGCTAAACCATGAATGCTTACAATGACCCTATCCCAAAGTCTTTCTCCTTGGGTTTATAGACTTGTTCCCATCTTACCAAGTGGTCTTTTTTTTCCTCTACTGGTTGTCACAAAAAGTCCATTATCTTCTCTGCCTGTTTGCCTACTTTTGTTGTGATCCTAAAGGTGGAATGGAAGCAGGTTGACAAGTTTGTTAGAGTGGACCTAATCAAAGTGTTTCTACCCCCATTGAAATGTAGCTTCTCTTCCACATGGCTAGTTTTTTAGTGAATATTTGTACGATTGGTTTTCAAAAGTTATTAGAATTTGATATTTCCCCCAAAGGCATACCAAGATATTCTAGGGGCCAAGAGTTCACCTCACAACCTGGTATATCTACTGAGGACTAGACAACATACTTTTCCTAGTTGATTGCTACCACATAACTCTTACCCCAATTGACCTTCAACTTTGATACCCGTTGGAATTCATTTACTAAAAGTTTATATTTTCTCAAGGCGGGTTTTTTACAATCCTAACAAAAGATAATAATGCCATTTGTAAACTAAAAGTGAGTCACTACAACCTCATCCCTACCAATTCTCTAACCTATAAACAAACCTTATTAAAGATTTGTCAACTCAGGACCTCAACAATTAAGGTGAACAAGAAAGGGGAGTGAAGATCTCCTTGCCTTAACCCTCTTTTATAAACACAACAATTGTGTATGGATTTTCTCTATGAATGGTTATTTTTATTATGAATAATTATTCACATCTTCATTTGTATTATTATTATACTACCTATTTGTTTTGTACAATGATGCACACATTTGAAATGGAAGTTTATGTACACAAATCTCATAATTAGTTTGTATTTTATTGTAGGTTGTTAGTGAATAATAATGTCTCAGAAATCAATTGGATCAAGATGTTTGGCCAAATGATTATGACAACTAATAGCAAGCCTTGATCTATGACCTGAACACAAAGATGCACTTGTTACAACTCCATTTGGGCATTTTCTTAGGTTGCCCCATATCATAATGGAGACTATAGTTCTTGATGTCTTTCTCTATGCTTGGGACTGCAAAAACCATTGCTTTCAGTTGGGTGGTAAGTCAATACCATTCACATGCAATGATGTTGCAATCATCACTGGGTTAAGTCTTGTGGGAAAGCCAATGGAATTAGTCCCATAAAATCCAAAATCGGAACTACTTCTAAGATTGTTTAAAAAGTATGATAACAAAGTACTACATGTAGACTTACTCATGGTAGAGCGTAAATTACACAAGCTTTTGAAGGAAGACTCAAATGAAGCTTTGCTTGACATAGTTAAATTGGTACTATTATATATTTTTTGATTAATTTTATTCCCACGGAGTAGTGCCTGAATAAATCCACTTTGGGCCAAGTATGTAGATGATTTGGAGCATTAGGGTGACCATGCTTGGGGTACGTGCATCCATTCATTCATGGTTAGTGAGTTGGATACAATTACCTCTGGGTCTCGTCAAAAAAAGCATGTTGCAAAAAGTACATTTACGAAGAATTTATTTGGTTGTAGCATTGCTTTATTGGTATGTTAAAATTGAATATGTATAGATTTTTTTTTTAAATGTAACAATGAATATGGAGTAGTGCTTATTGACATAGTTGTAATGTTGTGCAAGATTGGTTGTTTGAACACACCTCCCTAACAACTCCATCAAATCTAACAGCTCTTCCTCGATTATTTAAATGGTGGAATGTAGGATTACAATGGAAAGCCAAGCAAGTGGATTCATTGGCCAATTTGACAAATGAAATGGTATGTATCACATACTTCATTTTTTATTAAAAAGTAAGAATAAACTTGGAAAAACAAACTCATTTTATTAATTTTTAAGTTTGTTCCCCTCTAACAATTCCACCATATTGTAGATTGTTGAAAGGCTGCTTCCATCAGACAAAGAGTTGTTGTTACTAAAGGACAATGACACTAAGGAGGTGGGTACATGTCATTCCATGGCAATCAATGTGACACTTCTATTATCTATTTAGACGTATGATAATTTAATCTTTTTACATTTTTTATTATGTAGGAAATTATTCTTTCCGATCAAAACAATCAAGTATGTATATCCATTTCCAGAGGGCAAGAGGATGATGTGATTGAGATAACAACGGTAGTTGGTGGAGATAAATGATTTTTTTATTATAAAGTTTTGATATTGTTAAAATATGATCCAAAGGCTCATGACTTTTTTTGCTTTAATTATGTAGTCGATGTGTTTACGATGTCCAGAGTCCACAAAGATTCAAGATATAAAGATGCAGGCCAATGAGTACATATTAATGAGAAAAAAATATGATTAATTAGAAGAAGAGATGGGACAGATTCAGGAAGAAAATTTGCGACTACAAGAGCTTATATCTTCTAATGGTGTATCTATAGAAGTTAATGAAGATCGTCTGCATGTAAATGATCACTTGAGTTTAGATGGTAACATGGAGATAGGGCCTGAACTTGATTCTGTGTTAGATTTACCCACTGATGATGTGTGTCCCAACTCCCCAAATAACTCGGTTACTGAAAGCACTAACCTATCGTGTGAGATCATTGTTGCACCAAGTCTGAACTTGAAGATGTATCAACTTAGGAGTAAGGGTGAAAGAAAACCTAATCATCTTGTGTAGTCTCATTTTGGTGCCCCATCCTCAAGTGGTCAAGTTGCTAAGGAAATTGCAATAGCGGGTAGGGCAACAATGCCCAAGGCATGTAACACAACACCTTTGTTCTACTTTTACCATATTGATATTGACATTTGTATTATGATATTTATACTTGCCATAATGCCTTAGTTAGTGGTTGAATATTTCTAACTAGTTTTTCAAATGTAGAAAATCAATGGTCCATTATTGTAGAGGTCTTACCCACACAAACAACACTTTGCTTCAATGGAACTTGAAGTGATTGAGAAGTTCCCACACAAACAACACTTTACCTCTTCATATAGCCATCAGAGAGTAATATTTTTCTAGCATTTCTCAAAATTTTATTATTTATTTCATCTAACCATTATTTTACTTGTGATTTAATTGCAGTGACACATACATATGGAAAATTGACTCTTTACACTTATGTCAGACTCATTTTCGCACTTTGTTTGATATGGAATGATGATTATATGAAGAGGTAAATGTGGTGAAATTATTTCTTGATCTTATCCATACCACATATGTGTGTCAATTGCTTAAAAACAAATCCATCTATGGTATTCCATAGGTCATAGATGCTTATGCGACACTATTGCAGTCGAGGCACCGTAATAAGTATTATTTTTATTACGTGCCTACATTAGCACAGGTTTATTCTTGTCTTATCTGTCATTATGATTTACTAAATGCAGTCCATCTAAATAATAAATTAACACCATTACTTATAATGCGGGGTTATGCTAATTAGAAAAAGACAGTAAAACTAAATAAATGGTTTGAACCCTTAAATAGTGGTAAGTATGATAAGATTTTTATTCCAATTAATGGTATCTCACATTAGCAACTTGTTGTCATTGACGTATGTGAGAAGAATATTCGGGTATACGACTCAATGAAATCCTCCGTGCATAGAGCCTTCGCTGCAAACATGGTACTTTTTCTAGTTTTTGTTAGTTCTTTCTTGTTTGGCACAAATATATTTTCCAATGAGTATTGATTCCTTGTTTCAATCCTTCATATTATGTAATGTGACTTTTATATATCTCTACGGCAAACTCACATTACTGACATTAGACTGGAAATTTGAGGGTAATGTGTAGGCTCCACAACAAGAAGGGTATGTTTACCTATCACTATCATTAGTGAATCTAGTGCGCTAAGTTTCATTCATTCATTTGTGATTGAGCTTACCATCACTTTTTAAAGTGTTTGCAAGAATAATGACTGTGGTGTTTTTGTATTGAAGTATATGAAATGTTTGTCTAGGTCGAGATATTTTGATTTTTCTGAAGTAAGCCCCATAAGATATAGCTTTTATCTTGTCAATATCAACTTAAATTTACTAACCCTTTAATTCCAAAAAAGACCATGATAGGAATTTGTCATTGGAATATAGGGAGTCAACTTCTATAATAACAGATCTGGTAGTGAAAACCAATTATTTAGTGGTGGAAGTATCCTTTGTAGATATGTGATATAAGATTTAATTCCGATGTACAAGGTTCTTGTGGAGAGGGTAAAAACAATATATGGAAAATTAGTTTGTGGGTAATTCACATGGAATGTACATATGTTGAATGTAAATTTTTAGTTTTGTTAAAGGATTGATTTGGGAGCATCTTTAATGAAAAGAAAAACCATTTTTCTATTACCATAGAATTCAATATTGGGTTGCTTTAGCATGTACATATGTTGGAGTTTTTCTCTCCTAAGTGGGGATGAATCCCCTTTATAAAAATATGTCAAATGCTTTCTAATTGATTTCCTTTGATTTGTTTGTTGTCATTGCATGAAAATACATAATCTAAATCATTATTTAATCTTTCATTAATTATATTTTATGTTTTAATTTTTTGTAAGGTACATCTTTATACTTAGTTTCCAATCTTCAAGAATATGTTAACAATGGGTGGAAACGATGAGTAAGCTCCAACTCCAATTTCTAACAACACAATAGGAAATGTTATTCTAAAGGTAGATTCTAAATGTAAAAAGGGAAATAAATCTGGATATGATGTTTGGTAACATTTTTTTAAAAAATTCCAAAACCTCATGGTTTAAAGCCTGACCATGCAACATGAAAATATTGTGGTAAGGACCTTACATGTGCTAGTGCAAATGGTATTAGCACATATAAAAGGCATCTTGAAAAATGTAAAAGGTATCCTTACAGCAATAATGATTCAAAGCAAGGTTCAAAATATCGATACGCCTGATACGTCGATATGGGCGTATTAAGCGAATTGATACTACTTTTTTATTTTTTTTTTTGAAACTAGTTCAAGGGGGCCGGTTTAGGTCTCTTCTATCCCCTGAACCAGTCAAACTCCCGATACACCCACTATAGGGGCGTATCGGTGGGGTCCCAGAATGATACGTATAGGCCTGTATCGATACTTTGAACCTTGATTCAAGGTAATAAATCCTTTATTTGAGTCTGATGCAAATGTTTTGACTATGTGGTTTGGAAATTTGATCAAGATTTAAGTTGAAAAGAGCTAGCTAAAATGATAATTTTTTATGAGCTACCATTCAATTTTGTGGAGCATAAGGGTTTTAAGAATTTTGGTAGATCTATTCAACCTAGATTTCAGATTGTGTCTCGGACCACTATAACCAAGGATTGCATGGATTTATATATGTGTGAGAGAGAAAAATTGAAAGAAGAATTAACAAGTTCATTACAAGTATGTTTGGCCACTGACCTTTGGACTTCTATCCAAAATATTGGATATATGTGCCTCATTGCTCATTATGATGATAAGGATTGGAAGTTGTAAAAAAAAAATTATTAATTTTTGTGTTGTTCCAACTCCACACATCGATGAGGTCATTGCACATGCAATTGAATTGTGTTTGATATATTGGGGTTTAGAGAAATTTGGAACTATAACAGTAGATAATGCATCTTCAAATGACGTTGCAGTTAGGACTTTTAGAGGAAATTAAGTAAGAAAAATGATCTCTTGTTAGATGGTGAATTCTTTGATGTACGATGTGCGGCCCATATTTTGAATCTCATTGTGAACAAAGGGTTAGATGAGACTCAAGATTTAATATGCCGTATTCATGATAGTGTCAAGTATATTAAGAATTCACCATCATGTTTGCAACAATTCAAAAAATGTGTGGAGGAGAGAATAAAAAGTAAGAAATCAATTTGTTTGGATATTTGTACTCGATGGAACTCCACTTACTTTATGCTTTAGAATTCCAAAAAGCATTTTAGTGCCTATAAGAGCAAGATGTGCATTTTATAAAATTGGGACCTCCCATGGAAGAAGATTGGAAAAAGGCTAGGCGCTTGTGTAGATTTTTGGAGACCTTTTATGATGCTACAAATAGGGGTGCAAGTCGGGCGGGTTGGGTCAGGTTTATGGTCAACCCAAGCCTAGCCCTAAAATTTGGGCTTATGGCCTGAGCCCGTGGTCAAGCCCGATTTTCCCAACCCACCTTGTAATTTGATGCACTTAGGTTGGGTTTGGGCCCGGGCTGGGCTCGGGTTGGTCAATAACCCACTCTAAAATTATAGATATATAAATGTATTTATGTAAATATATATACATATATTTTTGTATGTGTGTAAGTATGTATCTAAAATATCTATACAAATGTTATATATACAAATATGTATATATATATATATGTATAAGTGTATATAATTGGGCCAGGTCGGGCCGAGTTTGGGCTACCTAAGGACTAGGCCCGAGCTTGACCCGAACAATAGAAAACCCGACTTCTCGGGGCCGAAAATCCAAGCCCAACCCGTGTAAAATTTCGAGATGGGTCGGTTCGGGCTCGGGCTAGGCCCGCCCAAGTCGCACCCCTAGCTACAAAGCGTTTGTTAGGGTCTAATTATGTTACAACTAGCTCTTAATTTCATGAAATTATTAGCATTGAATAATGTTTGAAGCAATATGAAAAAAGTGAAGATATTTTTTGCATGAGATGGCCAAGCAAATGAAAGAAAAATTTGACAAATATTGGGGTGATATTGATAAGATTAACATGTGATCATTATAGTGATTTTGGATCCTTGTTATAAGTTGGGTTATGTGAGGTTTTGTTATTTGCGAGTTTATGATGATGTTAACAAGGTGAATCAGATTATGGATAAAATTAAATATACAATGGAAAAACTTTTTCAGCAATATAAAGTCATGGATTCATCTTCTTTCTTAGCAATTGAGCATTCACAAGAAGTTCATAATGATGGAGTAGAGGGGTCTATTAAATCATCCGAATCTTTCAAGAGAGAATATCATATGGTTTTAAGAAATGAAGAAACAATTGTGAAATCAGAATTGGATCGTTACTTAGAGGATGCATTAGAAGAAGAGAGCTCAAGTTTTGATATTTTGATTTGGTGGAAATTGAATAACTACAAATATCGTGTACTTTCTCAAATGGCAAAAGATATCTTATCTATTCTTGTATCAACTATTGCTTTATAGTATGCCTTTAGTGTAGGGGGTAGAGTGCTTGACCAATTTCGTAGTTCATTAACACCAAAGATTGTTGAGTCTTTGATATGTACCTAAGATTGGTTAAAAGGTCCATCAAACCCAATTCAAATTGAGGAAAAACTATAAGTTTTTGAGGAGATAGAGACAGGTACTTCAATTTCTAATTATTTATTGTATTCTCCTTTTGTTTTATTAATATAAACTTATAATGTGAAGTTCTTTTTCCTTTTTAATAGCCTTGTCAAATGAAATTGGTGCTACATCTGGCTTCAATTCTAACACATCTTGTTCTATTAATGTCTAATCTCACTACATAATGAGTGCTTGAGGTGATTAGAATTTTTAAACACGCGTGTATTGCTATATCCATTTAAATACTATTACTTCTTTACTAAAATTATGAGTTTATTAATTTGTTTTTAGGAATAAGAAGTTGAATGGATTTTGGAAGATCTTGGGTTGCTATTGAAGTTATTTTGAGAGATGTTAAACCTTGTAGCTAAAGATTTTTTAATGATATTAGACTCTTTTATTGTTTTGTGGAGGACTACTTAATTAATTTTAATGGTTATATATTTTTACTTGGAAGTTAACTTTTACTTAATGGTTGTATGGCAAGATTTACATGATATTATTAATTTCTAATAGTGATGGGTGAAGTTTTAGGTTGGCGGTTCTTTAACTTAATTGAATTATTTTATTTTATACTTGATGGTTGAAGTTAACACTAAACTTATCAAAATTCTAGGTATCTTTTCTTTTTCCCCTTTTGAAATTAAAGTTTTCAGTTTATGATTCAAAGAAAATTCTAGGTATATCTTATATTTTCTAAATAAAATAATATTCCTTTTAATTTTATGATGAAAATTATATTGTATTTTTTCTTTTCTAAATGCAATATATGTATTGCGAACTTGGCTTCAGTCAATGCAAAGCCCGTTCAAACATACTTTATGGCCTTGCATTGGGAATATCTCCCCATGAAATAAAGTACATAGGTGCGGAGGGCTGTAAAGGCTATTCGAAGAGTGTCCGAATGGGCCTTGCACTGTTTGAAGCCGATCTAATGTATTACACATACACATAAATGTATATTAATTTTTAGTTTGGGGTTTTGGGCTAATTAACCAATCCAAATCTGGCCCGAGCCTGGGCCCAACCCGAGTGCCTGAAATTTTAGTTCAGGTTGGGCTTAAGTTGGATAATTCAGACTTGACCTCGGGTTGGGCTTGGGCTTTAGGGCCAACTCTTAGGGTTGCCTAGGTTGAGCTAAAACTAGGGGTGAGCATTCGGTTTTTTCGGTTTAAAACCGAACAAAAAAAAAACGGAATTCTAAAAACTGATTTAGCTATATGATAAACTAAATCAAAACTGAAATATTTCAAAACTGAATAAACTGAACCAAAATTTTTTCAGTTATTTCAGTTAGAACCAAAATATTGAATATGTGTTTTGAACACAAATTCCATAAAAAATAAAAAATAAGAAAAAAAATTGGTAATAAAGCCAAAACCCAAAGGAAAATTAAGTGGGTTGTGGGCCTTGCTGCATCCTTAGGTAAATGAATCAATACAAGAAGAGGGCATGCCTATTTAAAGTTTTAAACATATCTAACTGATGGCAGCCCTATTAACATGTTAACAAACTAAGGAATTAACAGAAATTTATATAATAAGAAAGGTTTTCTAGAAGAAATATTATCCAAAAGGTTTTCAAAAAATCAATGGAACTTAGCTTCAACTTCTGTAGATTCTTTAGGATTATACCTGAAAGCTTGTTTTGTGAAAGATTCAGAGAATTCCTGGCAAGATTCAAGTCCACCAATCTGGTACACTTACCCAATTCTATTGGTATTGATCTTGTTAATAAGTTCTCCTCTAAATGCAGAGATGGTAGTTGCTTTAAATCTCCAATTTGGGAAGGTATTGGCCCAGAGAATGTATTATTATTTGCAGAGAACTTCCCTAACTGAGTAAGCTTACCAAGTTCTGGTGGGAGCTCACCTGAAAATTTATTGTTCTTTAACCACAATTCAGTTAAGCTAGTGGGAATCCCAATATCTGAAGATATTCCTCCACTAAAGCCATTATCTCCAAAATATATGATATTTGCATCGGGTAATCTCCAAGTCCCATTGGAAATTGACCTAGATAAGGGTTCTTGTTGATCCCTAACCTCAGCAGTGACTTGCATTCAACATATGTTTCTGGGAAGTACCTAGAGAAGTCATTATTCAAAGCTCGGATTTAGCTAACAGAGTAAAATGAGCTCATATTTTAGCTAACAGAGCTCGGACCTGCATGGAAAAACCAGTTATAGCCTGCAGTCCCTTCATGAATCCTTTTAAACTCAAGTAAAACTAACATAATTTTCAGCCATTGTATCCATCTAACACTCTACAAACCTTGATTTAGAATCTGAAATCCAGCAAACTTCAAATTCGAATTAAGAGTAAGACACAAGGTTCAATACATTAAAAAAACACCTCAACAACTTCAAATTCGATTTAACACTCTACAAACCTTAAATGGTTAAAGGTAACAATAATGGCATCTCTGATTTCTACAATTGGTCAAATACAACAAAGAGACAAAATGAATCTGATTTATAATTTAGATGATTTATATGATTCATATGATTCATTTATAAATAAGAAATGAATTCAATGGTTTCATATGTAAATGAATCAACACAAGAAGAGGGCATGCCCATTTAAAGTTTTAAACATATCTAACTGATGGGTAGCCCTATTAACATGTTAACAAACTAAGGAATTAACATAAATTTACATAATAAAAAAAGGTTTTCTAGAAGAAATATTATCCAAAAGAAAGGTATTAATAGTCCAAATCTTCTTTGGAGCACCCAAGAGGCCAAGTCGCCAAGACTTTGTCTAACATAACCAAAAATTTCTTCTACTTCTCCTGTTTAGATACTTTCAGAACTTCAAAGACAACTAAAAGTCCAAAACTTCTACCACTACAACATTTCCACAAAGACTTTGCCTCTCACCTACTATATCTATTTAAAAGAAAGGCCCATTGTTAGAAAATTAAGGTGAATAAATACAAAATAGTCCATTATACAATATAAGTATGGAATTTAAAAACTTACCCAAGAATAAGCCTAGGAATGAATTTAATGATCAAATATCAATCACTATTGTTTGCTCCAATGCATTCTTTGGTAAATATAGAAAGGAAGAAAAACATGTATCATTTAATCATTTACGAAGGTTAAACAATTATCATTAAAATTGATATATGAAACTTAAATAAAAAAGAGTATTACCATTTTCAAATCTGTCAATCTCTTCTAAATCTTCAACATTAATTGCATGTTGCAATGACCGAGTCCAATCTCGAGTACATATTAGTGGTTTTGCTACCTTAAGTGCCAAAGAGCTCCTAAATGCATCAAGCACTCGTCCTTCAGTGCTAAAAGTAGACTCAAAAGCAATTGTAGAAATGGGAATTGCTAATACATCACGAGCCATCTGTAAAAGTATAGGGAATTTGGGATTATTATTAACTTTCCACCATCCTAGAATATCAAAGTCATCATTACCTTGTCCCTTTTCAGTATCTTCATTCAGATATATATCCAACTCTGATTTAGCATCTCCCCCTCCACTTACTGACTTATACTCCTTAAATCGAGACATCATCATCTTCTTTGCTTGTGATTGTTAGAATTTCTCACTTTCTGTCTATTTGAAATTAAACATTTGACCTTTTCAGTAATCTGTCCACTCTAAGGTGCAAACATACTCTTGTATTCATTATACAATTCATACAAGGTTTCCCTGACTCTTTTTGCAAATTCTTGACCCTTTGCATCTTGATAAGTTTCATTAAGTACAAACTCTACATACTTTAATTTGTTCCAATGGTCTAACACAACTATAATATAGATCAACTTATTCATCTTTTCAATGTTTCCCCAATACTTATCGTACTTCGCTTTCATCCTCTCTGCCATCGCCCTTAAATTTTTGTCCTCACAGTTTACCCATTCTTGTAAAAGGCACTCAACTGCATTAATTTTATGGAAAAAGTTGTTAGATGTGACATACAAGGAGCTTGGAACCAGTACTATGAAATCATAAAAATGTTGTAAAAATAGCACTAGCCTCCTAACATTCTCCCTATCAAAACAAGTAGGAATCCCATCCTTCATCTCAAGTTCACTTCTAAAATGAGGATCGTGATCCTCAAACCTCTCAAAGACTCTTTCAAACTTTTGACTTGCATCTAACATTAGGTATGTTGAATTCCACCTACTACTAATATCTAAATACAACAAACTCTTATTTTGAATCTTATCAACCTCAACAACTTCTTTAAATTTTTGCAACCTAGCTGGAGATTACCTCACGTATCTCATAGCCTCCCGAACACGATTAATAGACTTACCAATTTCTTTCAAGCCATCAGTCACAATTAGATTTATAATGTGTGCATTGCACCTCATATGAAGCAATATCCTATCTAGAATACAAGTTCCCCAATTAAAAAATTTCCTTTTCAAGTATGTAATTGCAACATCATTTGAATTTACATTGTCAACTGTAATAGTAAAGACTTTATCAAACCCCCATTCAATCAAACATTTTTCCACCGCCTTACCAATGGTCTCTCCTCTATGATTAGAAATTGGACAAAAGTTAAGAACTTTTTTATTCAATTTCCAATCATTATCAATAAAGTGGGCCGTTAAACACATGCAGTTGATTCTTTGCAAAGAAGACCATGTGTCTATAGCAAGACAAATCCTTTGGCATGATTTTTTTTAGGAATTTATTTAACTCTAGTTTCTCATCTAAGTACAATTGGTAACAATCTCTGGCAATAGTCCATCTAGATGGAATCCAAAACCTAGGACAAAAAAGTGTCATAAACTTTTTAAAGCCCTCACCATCCACAAACTTGAATAGAAACTCATCAACAATGAGCATCTGAGTTAAGCCCTTTCCAATGGCCTCTTGTGTCATGGACACACCAACCGGCAGCGCACTACGGCGCAGCCATGGGCAGCAGCACACACAGCAGGCACCGCCCGGTGGTGCCGCACAGCAGCACGCGCCACCCGACA